CAATATTTAAATATAATATATCTTAGACTGACAAATCATCTTCGTTCAGAATCGTTTTTAGCATACAATGATACCTATCATTACATTCAAATCTAACCTACCCTAGTCAGAGGTCCACCCCACCACCTAATGTACAGCAGAGCGACATCCACTTACCCGATTTTTATGGTTAGGTGTAATTCAAATTCAGATTTTTGAAATTTTTAAATACACTTGAAGATTRATTTTTCGAATCATTGACATATTTTTTACCACTTACGAATTATTCTGTGACAATACAAAGTTCAGTTTTTCAAATAGGAAACTCCCTTTTCATTTGTTATAGGTAAGCAGATATTTATTTTTGTTTTTTTTTTTTAGAGTTTTGATGTCTCAAATTAATATAATATAATCATACAGACCCGACATGACTAGTTAAGGGTTAAAAGACACAATGAAATCCATCAATACCGRGCATTAAGGGGGAATTAAAATTTTGTCCGTTATAAAGAAATAGACGTAAATAGACGTTTTACTATACCTACTGTACTTGAGATCTTACCTTTCAACAGAAGATGATTCGTCGAAACTGATCATTTTGAAGAGTTAGAATGAATATTAGTTGAAAAAATAATATTTTTTTCAATACATGCTACAATATAAATATATATGTTAAAAATAAATATTGAAAATCATATTAACCAGATACATTGTATTGAATCTTCGATAATGCTGTACTTTTATTTATACGTCCTTACGTATCTTGTTTAATAATCAATATTTATAGACACATAGTGATTTATTCAGCTAGTATTTTTATTAATATTATATACTCAATAAATATTAATTAGTTCAAAAAAAAAATTARAGTCCCTTACTATTATAAACTATATGCTTATTAAAATTATTTACCTATCTCGAGGTGTAAAATTAACTTATAATTAAAGTGGACGAGTGAGTACTGCTCTGCTGTATAATTGTTGTTGAGCATATAACTGTAATGAATGCGTAAATAAATAAATAAATCATTGCATACRAAAAACAATACTGAAGATAGAGTTTATGTCATCTTAACATATACATGTAAAAATAATAAAATTTAATAGTTAAAAGTAATTTTAAAAATTAAAAATATCTCGTAGCTTGAATTTGTTTTTGATAGAGGTAAAAAAAACTTCTTGAGGATCATCTTTTAAAATATATAATGAAAGCTCTAAAACTAAAAAACTTTAATGCATATTTAACTGAAAAAATAATTTAGAAAATTAGAAAAATGCTCATAACTGTTAATAGCACAAAACAGTTTGAACATCTTGAAAATTTTGTTATGTGTAAAAATTGCTAGTATAAATATTTTGTAAACATTCGAGTGACTAGGGTTCATCGTTTTTGAATTACAAAAAAACATCAAAAATTGATAAATGGGTATTCGACAATTTACTGCTGAAAATCCAATATCGTAAAATGTTTAAAATAAAACGCTTTTAAAAAAAATAATATTAACCTAATGTATAAAGTAAAAATCTTTATGGGGAATCCTCCATTCAAATTTGTTATGTTATCTATAGAAAAAAATGTTTACGAATTCTAACTGAAAGTAAATTAAAAACTTATCAGATCGAATTTTGTCAAAAAGTGAACTTGCATATAAAAAATAATCATGCTTATGTATCTTTAATATTTTTAAACTTCCGTTAAATTAAATTAGTAGAAACCTTGTATTAAATTTTAAAGCTTTTTTAATGTTTGAAAAAGTTTTATCCAGAATAATTTATAAAAATTTATATATTTCGAAATATTTATCGTGGGTATAAATAATTCAAAAGAGTCAAAATAATTCGAAAATKTTATAATTAATGAAAATGCGAATTTAAATATTTGCTAAAAATTTCAAAATTCAAGATTTTGGGCTATTCTAAAGAAATAAAATCAATCTTGAAATTGTAAATTATTATACATCCTAAAATACTTGTAACTTGTTTCAAAAATAAAGTGTAGTAAAACGCCATGAGGTTGTCTAAATAATGCTCTTACCTTTAAATTGTATTTAATTTTAAATTTCAATAGGATTAATGTACTGAATATCTTATGTTCGAACTAGCCTCGATGAGCCAAACTCTTTGCACTTTTTTAAGCTTTTTTTTCCTTTGTAGGTACTTATTACTTAATAGTTATTTTAGTTGGTAATTGGTATAGAATTTATATTTTGTATATTTTATTACGTATTTTGAAAAATACCAAAATTCCACAACGTATAGGGGAGAATATTATTTGTGCAATAGTGTCGTTATTTTTTTGAAAGCACTAACCAATAATTATTAATAATTAAATGAAAAAA